TCCTTACAAACCTGTGCTCAACTGGGCCAAATCCACACCACCCAAAGCCAGACCTTTGATCTTAGACAACTATTGAGGGTGGAGTGGATTTGGCCCAGTTGAGCACAGGTTTGTAAGGAAAAAATAGGGAATGCCAGGGAACAGGGGCCAGGTTAATGAGATTCTGTCCTTACAAGGAGCTCTGAATAGAGATCATTTAGTACATTCTGAAGCTGGACCTCCACTTGAGGATAAGATTTCAGTAAAGTTAACATTTACTGTGTTTTCTAAGTGATAGGAACCATGCTAACTGCTTTACAAGTATTATATTGTTTAATATAATACTTATGACAATCTCTCTGCACTGTAGGTGTGATTCAATCCCATTTAATAGTTGTGAGAACTTAGGCAGAGTCTCAGTTCATTGCAGAAAGTTAAATGGATAGAAAGTACTTGAATCAGGATTCATTCTCCATTAATTTGAATTTTGGGTTTGTGCTTTTAACTACTGGATTGTTCCTTCTACCATGAGTATTGAGTTTATGTTTGGATGAATTTGTCCTGATCTGACATCCCTCACTGAAAAATCCTTTATACGATTACCCTGTCTTCTCTAGGCATTCAATCTACTCACACAGTTTTGCTTCCAGCATCTTTTAATTTATTTATGTAGCATGGAAATGGCAAAAGATACTATTTATACCGATGAAAAAGTAAACATCGGATTTAAAGACTTCAGGGATTTAGAACTTACACTTTTTTTTCCTCATTCAGGCCACAAGGTTAACACTTCAAACTTCTGATAAATAAGAGTTTAGATTTAATACAAATGAAGAATAATTTGATTTAAAGGTAGAGAAATAGCTTGCCATTCTGAGTACAAGTTTAGGTTCAAACCTTCTATCTCTAGGATTAAAAAGATAACTTTCAGTGGAGATTCTTAGAGCCTCCAAAACTCTTTGACCCCTTGGGGTAGCACTGGAATCTGAGGAGTAACAGAGATGTCACAACCTCTTAGCCAGAAAAACCTGATGGAACATATTGATTTCCCTTGACTCCTATTGGACCATATGTATATTTAATCAGGAGGGATCTGAAGGATTGGGCTGTGAGCTGAGTTTGGAAGAGAGGGCTTTAGGTTAAAACTGGGATTTTAGAGCCATAAAAGTTTGTAAGAAAAACAGCTCTGTTTGAGGCAGCTGAACATACTAGAGAATCTGTTGACTTTCTCAATATTGATTTAGCTTCATAATATTTAGTTTGTGCCTGCAAATGTGGATGGATTAGTGGACTTGGTTTGGTGAACATGCATGTTTAAAGCAAAGATTGAGAAGAAAAGTGTTGGTTCATATGTCCATGTGACCTCCTCAGGGATAGTATTAATCAAGCCTTATCCTTGTCTTGATGCTTTTCTTAAGAGTTTGAGTTGAGTTGAACAGGAAGGAGGTACAGATTGGAGCAGATCCAACATGGGGATATTTATCTTTACATCCACTCTCTTCCTGTGCTCAATGCTTCTTGTATATACAACTTGCCTAAAAAATTCATGGAATGGTTGGCTGTAAGGTTGTAGAAATGGAGGTGGGGGGGGTGGAGAAAGATGCCTGCTAAGACAGAAACTTGGAAAAAAAAGTTAAGCCCAAGAGGTCTTTTGCACAGATCCAAGTTGAATAAAGATTCTGATCACCCAACTTTCTTATATTGTCCTGTTCTTAGTTCTTCAACAGAGCTACATGCTATTTTAGATTTGAACATTAGAGATAGGCAGGAAGATAGTTCAGAACATGAGAAAGGGTAAAGTTGAAATGTGGAGATCACTGTGGGGAAGGGAAAACAGAAAGACCAACAAAAGGCAAGAAAAGCCCAGGTTTGGGAATTCTTGTCCAGCCAGCACTAATAACTTGCTCCAAAATTTGTGGTGCTCTAAGAGGAAGGTATATAAAAATAAAATATTTAAAATATTTAATAAAATGCACAAAGAGGGAAGTGATCAATGCTGCATATAAGGTGAAATATCTGATAGAAAAGAAAGGATTGATTTTAGAAAGGAAAGGGAAACCTATCCCTGTACTGGAAAACTCTTAGTGAAGCTTTTGGTGTGAAACATAAGATGACAGAAACTGATGTCAGATAACAGGAAATCAGTCTTAAGAAAGGAGTGACCACAACGCAACCGCAGAAGGAACCAGGTCAAGGTCTACCAAGAATGTTGCTTTTAGAGTTGTTAATCATCATCAAGGTTCAGACATTGGACAATATTGTCACCTTGAAGAGACCTCAAAGAATTAAATATTTTGAGTATGTATTCTGTGCTGATATGTGGATGGATACTGGGAACTTGAATAAGGTCAGGAAATCTAGATGGCGCTGTTGTGAAGGGGAAAGGGCAAATAAGCACAAACCCCCAGGCCCTGTTCCCATGAAAGTGAAATGTCATTTGTATGAATAAAAGCTTAATTGGATGTCCTACATAAGGTGCTGTTGTAGACTTTGGACATTTAGGGGGATCCTAGGAGTAGAACAAGTGTGGAATAACCCTATGTATTGATGAACTATCTGGATGATTATCTAGATCAGGTTTGTTCATGATAATGGTATGCCTAGATAGTGGTGCCATCTGTGATTAAATTTCTAAGAGGGGGTTGAAAGGACTGGAAGTGAGTGGGTGAGAGGCATGCCTTCAGGGACTGGCTGCTTCAGGGAATGGCTGCGTGAAGGTGCTGTGGGAAGTTGATTGTGATTCCTGATTTTAGTTGTGTTTTTCATTTTTGTTGGGGGTGGGAATTTTCCTCTACAGATGGAGCACAGTTCTATTCTTTTCATTCCAATAGCTACTTCATCTTCTCCAGTGCAGACAGCAGAAACCCAGCCTACAGCACCACAGGAGACGAGGACACCACAGCCCACCAGTTCACCATTGTACTCTTGCCCAAAAGGTAGCTTCATTTTTTTCCTGAACACCTGAGAGTATTCAAATTTTGATAATCACCGGCACATCGTTAAAAGCATATATTTTGGAGTAAGACAGACCTGACCTGAATGCTGATGCTGGCCACTCTAATCAGCTATGTGGTTTGAACAAATGTCTTACCTACTTAGAATCTGTTTTTATCGTTTGTGAACTGGATGGAATACCAATTATCTTGTAGAATGCTGGTGAAGAACCTCAGACATAGTTAAAAAGTGGTAAGTAATAGATACAATAGCAACTCTGACTCTTACTTAGAATGTCCAGGATCCCTATTTCTGACTGGCAGAGGTGGCTTGTGTGAGTTGGGAAGCATTGACGTGCATATCACTCTTTGTCTTAATCAAATCAATCAGTCTTGACTCCAAACTTATTAGTGGGCTTGCTCCCTTGGGCCAGAGCCTTAAAACAATTAAATCCAGCTCCCTGGTATCCAGACCAAACTGGTCAACCACGTTTCTGCTTTATCTAAGACCCAGACCCTAAGTGTATCTAGGAAGCTCCCCTGTCACCCTGTGGAGCTTGTAAATGGACACTTTGAGATTAGCTGAGGACATCAACACCAGCACCAAGAGGCATATCCTGCTGAGACTGTCTGTTTACTTCCCCAATTTTCCCCTACTGTCCCTATTCTGGGCAGGTCTCATACAATCTCTGCTTTTTTGAAATGTAAGATTCTCCTGTCTTCCCTGTGGTAGAGAAAGGTGATTTGAATCCTTTCATTTTCCCCAGTTAATTCCGTTACCCATGGTGGTAATTCTGGAGAGTGCCACACGCTGAACCCTTTTGTAATGCAGAGCTGGCTTATGTGTGCTTGTGCATGTGCTGAATCCAAACAAGGTCAAGCCTTGCAAGACTCCTCCCTTATGTGTATGACTCATTGTGCTTAGGAGTTAACAATCCGTAGCTGCCTCCCTGCCCCCCCCCTCCCCCCCGCTTTTGGCTTACCTTTTGCCAATAATTCCTGGAAGCTGGTTAATTTAAAATGGAGCTGCAGTGAGATTTACAGAGGGACCTATTCAACTGGGATTAGATAATGGTGACATTTGGTTTTGAAAGTGGAATCCTTAGTGTGAACTGTTTCCGGGCACAAAAACAAAGTGAAAATATATAGAAACACAAGGTGGCAGCAGTACGAGTGGCGGCACCCCACGCTTTTAGTGGTTGAGTAGGAAGAACATAGGAGTAGGAAATCATTTTCTAAAAATCATGTCACTACAACCTGGTCCAGGTAGAGCTTTCCAGAGTGAAACAGACATCAGAGCTGCTGTGTCCCCTATGAGTCATGTGATTGTTGCCACGTTGGCAGTGTACCTGAGGTTCTCGAGCCAAATCCTCATTGTGGGCCTGCAGTGGGCCGAAGTCTCACAGAAGCAAAGAATGTTAGGTTTGGAAGGATTTTGGTGCTCATATGGCCCACCACCCACCTTAGATGGATATATGTGCCAGGAAACTGTTGTATATTATCTCACTTAATTCTTTTAAGGCAGGCCTTATTTATTGCCATTGCTAGATTAGGGAGGCCCTATAATTCTCCTTTAGAGACAGCTTCTGATTCAACGGCCAGTTATTAGCTTCAGACCTATGGGCAAGATGTTGCATTCCTCAGTGGATGTTAGTGATGATCGAAAGACATGATGTTTGGAAAGCATACTGCACAGTGACTCTCTCCCCACCGCTCCTTCTATTGTAACATATTTAATTCGTCACAGCTAATATTTATCTAATATGGTGTTAAGTCCTTTACATGCATCATCTAATTTAGCAACTTTATGAGATGGGTGCTGCTATAGCTTGTAGTTCTATCTGTATTACAAAATAGATATTTCAAAACTCTATTAAGATTTGAATGCTCAGAACTTTAGGGAATAATATAAATAAAATCCTTTTATATAGGATTTCAGGTAGTATAAGATACATTAGTTTTATAGCTGATATAACAGATTTTTTATAAAATACTTCTGGATCAAAGTATGGGCACATTGGCATATAACGTAGGAGTTATATGCCCCTTGTTTTATGTATCTTAGTATGTTTTACTCACATTCTGAATAAAACCAATGTAATGTCCATTCAGAATAGAGTGGTTCTGATCTTTGGATGTGCATATGGCCTTTGGGTACTCATGGCCTTTATGCCAGTTCTTAGCTGGCATAAAAAATATCGATTTCCTACCATTAAGTGGCATTCTTAACTTGCTTCCAAGAATGGGCCTCTGTGATTCCCCTAAAACTGTAAGTGAACCTTTGTGCATACATGCATTTTTTTTCCATAAAGAAGACAAAAAGTGTCCATTTTTGAAGGGTCCATGACAAAATGGTTAAGGCACACAGCCTTCCACGATAAATTAATACATGTTAGTAACTTGGTATGACTTTTGCAATGTCTGCAGCATTTGGCCATATTATTATTCAACTTTTCATTCACCACCAGAAGGCAACGTGAATATATTTAGTGTCTGCAGTGAAAATTCAATATTTTTTGTAATTATAATTAATTTTCTTTCTTGTTGAGCAGATGGGAATGGCACTGTGACACAGTCTTCAGATGGCCTTTGGCATAGCAATCAAACTGTAAGCATATTTCTTCCTACTTCATTAGCCAGTTTCACTTGTGTGCCCCCCTGGAAGCAAGTTTCATTTAGAGATTATTTCTGTAAAATTGGCCCACAGACTGATTCTTTCTGGTTGAAATTTTTAAAAAAAGGAAGAAAAGAATTTGACTCTTAAATAGGGATACTTTAATTAATTTGGAAAGTTCATACGGGTGGTGGACCAGTTTGTTAGAATTTGCCTGCTAAATGATATTACATTCTGTGTATGCATACATATACATACAAACGCCCACCACAGACTTTCTCCTGGCCAAACATTAAGAAGAAAGAATGGTCTAATTTAAGGAGAGTGACTTAACATAATAGACCAAGGAAGACTTTAATTATCATTAGGGAAATAACATGCTTTGAATCAATGGAGTGGAGGCCACCCCAGACAAAAATATATCCGTGAAAGTGTGCTTGCTTAAGCGTATCCTCCTTCGTATTCTTTTCAAACCCAATTTCCATTCTTTATAGAAATATTGAGGCCACTATTGAGTTTTTCCATATATAAACCTCCCCATATGATGACTTTTTAAGGTATTAACATCTTACACACATTTGTGATTTTCTTACACGTTTCCACAGTGAGCTTGGGAAAACTCTAAGGGGCCCTAAATACTCCTGATGCTTGTCAAAGTCTCATCTTTGTAAACAAGTTAGACAAATTTATCAATAGGACATTTTCTTTTGGTTCCTCTGAGAGAAATAAGTTTTCTTTTAGTATGTGCAAATAACTCTCAGAAACAGCAAACAAAAAGAGTTTGAGGTATGAGAATAGTCCTTCTGGTCCCAAGTACTGAGAAATGACAACACAGGCCATGGTAAGAAAAACTCAGGCTCAGGCACGGTGGGATTATTTAGTGTGGGGTCAAATGGCTTTATGTTGTATACGTCAGTGACAATGAGACCATTACATAGGAGTGATATTAACATTTTTAACCACTTATATAGCATGGGCACTGATTGACCTGATGGATGTGGGTTGAATTTGTATATACCTGCTAAATGTCAGAATTGCAACTATGTGAATGATTCTTCTATTGGTATATAGCCAGGCCTATGCTGGATTAGAAAAAAAGTAAATAAAACATTCTGAATGGTGATATTGTTCTCGACCTCAGTTATCTGTAGGACAGGTATGTTTAGCAGCAAATGGAAGCGTTTTAGAAGCAAGTCACAACAGGCAGTAGTGAAACCATGGGCTTTTTGTGTCTTGACTCTGAGGATGTTAAGAGGTATCTCAGGTATCTTGAAAACATGCAGCATGTATTTTGACCCAGTGGGGTCAGCTTCCTGGACTCTATTGTAGGAGAAATTGAACAAATACATGAAGATGTATGAGAAAAGATGTTCATTGCTGCTATTTATAGTCATGAAAATAGGGGCGCCTGGGTGGCGCAGTCGGTTAAGCGTCCGACTTCAGCCAGGTCACGATCTCGCGGTCCGTGAGTTCGAGCCCTGCATCGGGCTCTGGGCTGATGGCTCAGAGCCTGGAGCCTGTTTCCAATTCTGTGTCTCCCTCTCTCTCTGCCCCTCCCCCATTCATGCTCTGTCTCTCTCTGTCCCAAAAATAAATAAACGTTGAAAAAAAAAATATAGTCATGAAAATAATATAAACAACTTAAATGTTCAATAGTAAGGGATTAATTACTTAGTCAGTTAAGCATGACCACATATTGCCATTAAGAATGTAGTCACTGCAGTGCATTTGCTGACATGGGAAGACAGTGACTGTTTATTGTTAAGTGAAAAAAACAACTGTTAAAACAGCATGCACACATGTGGAAATGTAGTAGCATATATTGAATATAGTAATTGTTTCTGTCAAGAAAAACACTAGGAGGATAAAATTCTAGAAGAGCAGATAATGAAAAATGGTAATAGTGGTTGTTCTTGGATGTTAGGATTATGGTTGGTTTCAGTTTTCTTTTTTCATGCTTCGCCGCACATTCTAAAATGAACATGCAGTTTTTATGTAATATTTTTGAAAATGAAAGCAAAGCCTGCCTCCTGCAGCCCCATGTTACATCTAACTACTTTACTCCCCGTTGGAAAGCTAATAACACAGCTCTTCCCTCCCAGACACTGGCCATTTCGCCTTTAAGTAAGGATGGCTCAAACACTAAGTATCTTTTCCTATCTCCCTCACAGTATTTATCAGAAAGTACCTAAAAGTACCTTTCCCAAGAACCCTAATTAATCTGTAGTTGACAGACACAGACACAGAGGCTCAGAGAGGCTAAATAACTTATCCAGGGCCACACAGCAATGAAGTCGAAGAGCTGGGATCCTGACTCCAGACATTAAACTTTTACACAAGAAGACACTTGATCCTTCTCTCTTATCTTCTTTTCTGTTAAAATACTTACCCTCTGGGATCTCTTTAGGATTTGAGCTAAGCTATATAAAAAGTTGCTGAGCACAATGCCTGGCATATTTCGGGCTTATTCCAGGAGGTGGTGATCCTTTACAAACACGCACTAGGGTGTTTAAACAAATTTCTGCTTCTCTACCCAATTGCACAGCACTTCATGTTGGTTGTTAATGAGGGCCATGTCTGTGAGCACCTACTTTCAAGTCCATTTATGTAGACTTTCACAGACTCTTGAGTTATAGCTAAAAAAATAAAAATAAAGACTGTAATCAAGGGCCAAATTCAGTCACCGAGCATATGCAGATAACATCACCAAGCCAACTTATACACGAACAAAAATTGCTTTTTCTTTTTTAATATCATGGAGGATATATTTATGGAAATAGTTTATTGGTTTTTAAAAATATGCATAATGTACATATAATAAAGTACACCCCTTTGAAACATACAGTTTGAGTTTTGACAAATGCATACCCCTATGTAAATACCACCCCATGCAAGGTATAAAACATTTCTGCCATCCCTAAATACATTTTGAATTTTAAATGGTCTTTGAATTTCACCATATGGTTACAATCTCAGATCACTTGGTCTTATCCCTCATGAGCCAGAAATAGCCAAGGGCCAATAAAGAAAATGGGTCAAAAAAAATTAAAAGTAGATCTAGCCTATGACCCAGCAATAGCACTGCTAGGAATTTACCCAAGGGATACAGGAGTACTGATGCATAGGGGCACTTGTACCCCAATGTTTATAGCAGCACTCTCAACAATAGCCAAATTATGGAAAAAGCCTAAATGTCCATCAACTGATGGATGGATAAAGAAATTGTGGTTTATATACACAATGGAGTACTACGTGGCAATGAGAAAGAATGAAATGTGGCCCTTTGTAGCAACATGGATGGAACTGGAGAGTGTGATGCTAAGTGAAATAAGCCATACAGAGAAAGACAGATACCATATGGTTTCAGTCTTATGTGGAGCCTGAGAAACTTAACAGAAACCCATGGAGGAGGGGAAGGAAAAAAAAAAAAGAGAGATTAGAGTGGGAGAGAGCCAAAGCATAAGAGACTCTTAAAAACTGAGAATAAACTGAGGGTTGATGGGGGGTGGGAGGGAGGGGAAAGTGGGTGGTGGGCATTGAGGAGGGCATCTGTTGGGATGAGCACTGGGTGTTGTATGGAAACCGATTTGACAATAAATTTCATATTAAAAAAAGAAAAAAAAAAGAAAAAGAAAAAGAAAAATGGGTCCAAGTACATTATTTTAGGGAATGTCTTCTACTCGTAACTCTAACAAGATGCTTTTCTGATCCACTGATGTCTCCTTAGCATGTGTCGCTGGCACAAAATTCATGGATGACCACCAGTAAGGGACTCTACATTGGAATCTGCATTACTACTGTGGTATTGCTCACTGTGTTGGTTGTCGTGATTACCAAAAGTAAGTCATTTCAGAATTATGCCTAAGGGAACGTAGTGCAAGGGTTCTGGAGCCAAACTGCCTGAGTTTGAGTAGCTCCACACACTACGTGATTGTGATTTCACATTTGGCATAAATTTCTGTTTCGTTTTGTTTCTCTTCTTTTCTTCTCTTTTCTTCTCTTTTCTTTTCTTTCTTTCTTTCTTTCTTTCTTTCTTTCTTTCTTTTTTTCTTAGAGAGGGAGAGAGAGAGAGGATGTGAGTGGGGGAAGAGGGACAGAGGGAGACAGAGAGAATCTTAAGCAGGCTCAATGCTCAGTGCGGAGCCCCATGTGCAGGCTTCACAGGGCTCAATCCCATGAGCTTGGGATCATGACCTGAGCTCCCATGAGCTTGGGATCATGACCTGAGCTGAAATCAAGAGTCAGACACTCAACCCACTGAGCCACCCAGATGCCCCTAAATGTCTGTTTTCTTAACTGTTCTTTAAAAAATAATATTGGCCTATACAGATGCAAATTAAATTCTACAAAGTTGAAATTAAATCTTAAGAAATGAGAATTTTGGGGGCAGGCTTGGAGTTTGAGTTTGGAAAGCAACAAACCATTGTAATATATACAACTTGTTCACTCCTTTTCCATTCCCCCCAAGAATAGTTTTTGTCCTCATGAGTGATGATATTGTTGAATTTTACAACACCCATTTAACAGGAAAGGCAAATGAAACATTGGGAGGGAAACTGATTTCAGGGCTAGAAGAAAGAATTTCAAAAGGCAGTCATTCAGCTGTTGTGTACAGGGGGTGTGTGTGTGTGTGTGTGTGTGTGTAGCCTTCCTTCTATGAAAGAGCCACAGTCATTTATTTTTAATGAAATTTATTTATTAATAATTACATTAAAGTAAGCCAGGGCATGTGGGTGAATACACTAAGCCATTATGAAAATGAAGTACTTTTATGAGAAGTTTGTTTGGGTCTTATCGATTCAGAAGGAGTTACTTGAGTATCTAGGAAAGCACCAAGTCTGTTTTTTTTTTTTCTTTTTTTTAAACATTCTTTCTTCTAAATTTATTTTTTCAGGCTCTAGCTCTGTCCAGGTTTTGTTTATAGTAAAGCAATAACAGAAATAATATACTTGTTTGAAAAAAAGATCTTGTAAACTATTTGACCAATGTGTGTAATTTTCTCTTTGGCTCTTCCCCAATTTAGAATATTTATGCGTAAGAAACAAGCTGGAACAACTAAAGTAAGTTTGAAAGTGTGTCAATAGCTTTTGGTGTTTCTACTCTGCTAAAAGTAAAGAAAAATTTGTCTCTGTCCTTATCCTCTTTTTCCCCTAAACTCTTCATTTTATACCCTACATCCCAAAAAATCTAGTTTAATGAATACCACTGTTGTTATCCACAACTTCTAGTGATATTTTTCACTTTCTACATTTCTCTGGAATTGTGCCAGAACTGCTACAGAAGGAACACCCCAAGACCTCTTACCTCTTAAAGAAAGAGAACTAAATCACAAGTGTTTGATAGAATGTTTGAGTAAGTTATTTGATTTGTTCTTTGATTTCATTCAGTGCTTTGTTTATTGGATGTTTATTGAATGTCTACTATATTTCAAAGAGATGAACAAAGCGGACAGAAACACATCAGCAAATAAACAGGGACCTTGCAGTGCTTCTAGACAAATATCACTGGGGATACAGAAAAAGGTAATGGGTTGAGTGAGCCCTGAAGGAACAGATGACAGCTCTGCAGAGATGTGGAAAAAGACAGCTCCAGGCTGAAGAAGTGCAAAGGCACTGTGGTGAGGCAGGTACCTCCAGCTCTACACAGGTCCTGCCTTCTCCTGCTGTTCCATTCCCAGCCAGGTGTGCTCATTTACATGGGTTATCTGGCCTCATAAACATTGGCATTTACAGTTTTTGAAAATCTATCCTACTGCCCAATTAAAACTTAAATCCCCTTTACCTGCATCCAAAACTTGGGGTCATCTACTGGAATAGCTGTAATAGTAGGAAGCCAAATCCAAGTAGCTTGCTTCGTTTGATAGAGCTTGAGCTTCATTAAGCAAGGTGTTTATTTAAAATCCATTTCTCTTAGATCACCATACATTATTCCTAGTTCTCCTTCACTGGATGTTTGCACACAGCCTTTCTTAGGTCTGAGTTAATTGCATGAGCTAATCCAAAGAATGCACCTTGAACAATGCCCAACACATTGTAAGTGCTCCATAAACATTGGCTTTTGTAATTGCTGTTATGCCTGTCATGGTAAATCTACCCATGAGATAGGCACTATTATTCTCAGCTTACAAACTAGAATACAGGTTTAGAAGTGTGAAGTGACATCCAAAGTCACACCACACAGCAGGTAAAAGGCTCAATCTTAGGTCTTTTAGAGTCCCAAACCCATACTTATAGAAGTTTTTGACTGTGCGCTTCTAAGAATGGAAGAGGAAATTACTCCTAATAGGCAGAAAAGCATGGAACACAACATCCTATTAGTTGATCTTTGTTCTTTCACTATTAACTTTTTCTAAGGGCTGACTTTTTATCACCTAATCATAATAGAAAATATTTGTTGTAGAAAATCTTATAAAATATAAGAAAATTAAAACAACAAAACCCCAAGCATTTCTTCATGACTTTTTTTCTTTTCTTTTCTTCTTCTTTTTCTTTTTCTTGGTTTTCACAGTTCTCATCACACTGACTCATTTTAAGTCATTGACACTTGTTCTCACAATGTATGGGTGGCCACTTAAAGATCAGAGCTGAATGAATCCTCAGTATGTTCCCTATCATTTCTCAGCAGGCTTAGGTAATAAAAATAGGCACTCTCTACAAATTATGAAACAGCACCTGTATCAAAACTGCAAACATGAACTTTCTGTACACTTACTGTAGAAGTGTATGTGTTATGAAAGTTGTCTAACCCATGGCTTTCAAATTCGGATCATTAAAACACAGTAAGATTTCTGCACCATGATCTAGCACACGTTTATATGAAGCAATACTCTTTTACTATGTCCAATATATTCTGATATAGTTTGTATTCTGTGTTTACCCTAAATGCAGGATTTAGACCACTAAATAGATTTAATAGTGCTCTCTGGAAAAGTACAATCCACAGTCAGAAAAACAGCAGCCAAACCATTTCTTAGCTACTACCCTTGAGAATATGCTTGATTTAGGACTTCAATTTGATGTGCGATCCCAGTCTTAGATTTTCAATTTTTGCATTCTATTACATGAGTCTCCTGAAGGAGAATACTTAGGTTTTCTACATACTTCTTAAACAGACTCTCCTTCAACTTAATATTCACAACCCTGGATCTCCTTTTCATTTCATAGACTGTGAATGGGGCTCTGGGACTGGCAAATACCCAGTCTTGCCTGCGTGTAAACAAATGTGCTCACCATACTTTAGAAGTGGTCTGCTTTTCCTTACTCGTGTTATTCTTTCTGTAGCTTGGTTTCGTTGAGTGACCCCCAGACTGGAGCTTTGCAAAGTGCATCTGAAGTGGGTGTGCGAGCGGAAGACAATATCTACATTATCGAGGACAATCTTTACGTCATGGATTAAGATCCAGCGGCACTCTAAGGATTTATACCCTTGACTGCAGAAGACAGTGACAAGATATCACCATGTCAGAGTTCTTTTAAGCTCTAGAATGATTTTTCTGTCAATTTCAAATGATATTCCAATATGTCAGTTATGATGGGTAGGCTGACTTTGGTTCATCTGTGTACGGTCAACCTCATTGGTCATGTAGTCCTAATTTTTTATACTACAACTGGTTCAGTATTTCTGGTCATTGCAGAGATTTCTCTCAAACACGAAGTGAACACTTTAGAATTGTGTGTTCTCTTTGGACCCTATGAACCCTATATCCATCAAGAATTCTCGCTGGTGAGACAGGAGAGGAACTACTACCTTGGTCACCAAAGCTGTCAAGAAGAGTGGAGTAGGAGTTAAAGTCAGCAAATCCAATTTGGGACTTAAAGTCTTCACTTGGAATCATTTCACAATTATCTCTTGTGTTTTACCTTGTAATAACTCCAAATGTTACATTTCTTAGGTTCCCCAAGGCTTTCAAATCACGGGTACACAGGCTTTTATTTCCCCCATAGGGAAATAGAAGTGAATGTGATATTGCCATTGTGGGTAAATACAATTTCTCATGGCTCTGGAAATACATGGTATTAAGCCTTTCCTTAGAACCAGGGTGGGTATTTTAGCAGTTAGAAGAAACTAGGGTAATGAGTGAACCAAGAAGATTCTCCAGGGAAGAAAATCAGTTGATTTATTACATGCTATTTCTGCTACATCTGTTCCATAGTCCCAAGCATTTGTGTAGATAATTGTCATGTTCTCTGAACTAATTTTTAGAATGAGGCAGGGCATAAATAAATAGAAGAAAAAAAAAAGGGAGAAGGCTAAAAGGCTTTCTGCTTTAGAAAAGTTACTTTGCAAATATAATAATGTTGTTTGAGAGTGTTACTAAGTTTCAGTCAAAATTGTCACTAAACCACTGCAATTTTTAAAATTGTTTTGGAAGGATGGTTTTTTTTTTTTTTTTAATATCAAAGCAATTCCAATGCTATTCTTTTTTTTTTTCCTCACAATTCAGTGAAATTTTTGGCTTTTCCAAGAGAGTTAAACAAAGGCTAAAGGTAAGGATTTTTTAGTCAACACAGGCATTTCTACATGAACAGTTAACAAGGTTGGGTATTAATTTCAATCTAAGTAAACCCTGAAACAACTCCTGCTTAGGGTTCAGAGATACACTATAGCAGTTGAGGAAGGCAGGATGTTCATTTCTGAGGGCAACATGCTTGACATTCTTCTGCAGGGTTCTAGGAAGTTAACAGGACCTCTGAATAAAAGTTATATGGGCAAATAATATTGTTAAACATGCTATCTTGGGTTTTCCAAGTGTGGCCAAGATCTGATCTGGCCTAAGAAATTTTTTTGTTTTTGTTTTTAAACTACAGTGTTTTTCTTTCAAATTCAAGACAACATGCATAAACATGGTGAATTCAGATGAAAGCCTGAATTTGTAGCTTTTCTGGAAAGACCTTGCAACATTGGACTGCATTCCTAGGTAGTCAGGGCCCCATTAAATGGTGCTACATCCTCTCAGCCCCTAGTGCTCAACTTTCCTGCACAGACACACATTTGTCACCTGCTTTGTGACTGGGAATTTGAATTTATAACAGCTCTGCTCTCTCTACCCTTCCTGCAGATTTATGATGGCACATTCAAAGTTCTGGGAATCTGGTTAACTTTGTTAATCTAGCACTTCCAAAACTTGCTTGAACACAAGGACTACTGCCATATCCAGTTGCATTCTGTGAAACAGAATGTGAGGATGTGTGGGAAAGAAGGTGGTACACAGAATCAGGACTAGGACCTGAGTTCTACTCTTAACTCTTAACAGAAACACTGGATGCCATTAGGGCTAATCTTTCTTGATGCCTACATTTTTTAATCTATCAGGCATAATTATTCCTATAATTATGTCAGTGTATAGTGGTAATTCCAATGCTATGTTACTTGTGACAGGTCTTTGAAAAGCGGAAAACACTACAGAAATGCAAAAAGTGTTTTTTTTTTAATTTGTTTTTATTTTTTGGTTGATTTTATAGTAATAGCAGATGTAGATTTAGTGCTCAGTAAATAATTTCAATGGTGTTGCATTCATATGTATTTTGCTATATGGTACTTTATTGGAGGGAATAATTTACTTTTTGGAAAGCTGATATAGGGTAATTGGGCTAATTTTATACTGGAGTAAAAACTGTCAATAACTGAAAGGACAAACAGGTGAGTGGGGAGGAAAGGGAGGCGTTCAGTTAATATTAAACTCTTTTTTGTGAATATATCCATCTTATAGAATGTATTGATTTGTTTTCAATCCTTTGAGATGATTGAGGTTCCATTTTCTTTTTTTTTTTTTTTTTAATTTTTTTTTTCTCAACGTTTATTTATTTTTGGGACAGAGAGAGACAGAGCATGAACAGGGGAGGGGCAGAGAGAGAGAGGGAGACACAGAATCGGAAACAGGCTCCAGGCTCTGAGCCATCAGCCCAGAGCCCAACGCGGGGCTCGAACTCATGGACCGCGAGATCGTGACCTGGCTGAAGTCGGACGCTTAACCGACTGCGCCACACAGGCGCCCCAAGGTTCCATTTTCTACAAACTGTCTTGTGATGTTAGGACACTGGTGTAAGTAAGGTATTTAAACTTGGGAAATTTTGCACATCTTTAAGAAGTAGCAGAACCAATTTTTCACTAATGGCTGTGAAGATAATTCTGGGAGTACATGAAAGTATGAGGGACTCTTTGGGACTAGTTTAATTTGTATGTACACTCATTAATAAAACAGATTTTTGTTTTCATTTTGAAAATGACTTGTTGCTTTCTCAAGCTCATCTGTTGAACATGAGCCAGGCATGTTCAACTTGCTGTGGGCTCCCAGGATAAGGGAAAGTAGGGCAAGGTTTGAGAGTCAAGTGTGCCCAGTGCTCCTCTAAATACTGGGGGTAGAGCAAAGAACAACCCTGAAATCCAGTTCCTGAGAAGCTCCAATTTAGTAGGGAAGAACGCCCCAAACCATCGAATTCTAATGCGGAGGAAAAAAGAGCATAATGGTAGCTAGGCTCCTCAGTTTTGACATCCGGGGCCAGATAACCCTTCATTGTGGAGGCCGTCCTGTGCATTGTAGGATATTTAGCAGCATCTCTGTCCTCTACGCACTGGAGGAGACAGCTGGGCCCCACGAGTTGTGACAATTACAATACCACCTCTGGTTGAAAGCCAACGTTAGATACCTGAAGGATGTGGCTGGTGTGGGGAATGGTGTTGCTTGGTTGGTTACGAGCTACCTCTGGGTAAGAGGTGACATTTAAGTCGAAACCAAATGAATGTGTGAGCAGCAGCCTCTTCAGGGATTCTACCAAATGCAAAGGCCTGAATCAGGAAGAAGCCTGTGTATTAAGAGAAAGTAGGGTATGTTCTGAGGACTAGAAAAAAAAAACAAAAACAAACAAACAAAAAAACACAACAAAACCCCAAAACAACATTATGGCTGCAGCAGTGAACCAGGGGGACTAGAAAGAACTGATGCTGGAGAAATGGCCTGGTAACTGGCAAAATGCTAGGTGAAAAGGGCTCTAGGAACACATCTGTTGGAGAAGAGTCCCTTTCTTAGAAAACAAAGCACTTGTGCACATTAAGGATTAGACCTGCTATCCATCACTGAATTATATATATATTTTTCAAATGTTTATTTATTTTGAAAGAGAGAGAGCAGGGGAAAGGCAGAGAGAGAGAGAGGGAGACAGGATCCCAAGCAGGCTCCACGCTGTGAGCTCGGAGCCTGACACAGGGTTAGAACCCACGAACCATGAGATCATGACCTGAGCCAAAACCAAGAGTTGGCCGCTTAACTGACTGAGCCACCCACGTGCCCCTCCAAATTATATTTTAACGTGCATTAATGTGCTCCAGTGACATTGTTCTTAGATCAGATCTAAAAGGTTTGGGGGCACCTGGGTGGCTCGGTCGGTTAAGCATCTGACTCTTGGTTTTGGCTCGGGACATGTGATCTCACAGTTTGTGGGTTCAAGTCCTGAGCCTGCTTGGGATTCTCTGTCTCCCTCTCTCTCTCTGTGCCCCTCCACTCCCCTTCTCTCAAATAATAAATAAATAAATAAACACTCAAAATAAATAAATAAACACTAAAAAAAAATAAAAAAGCCAGTTTGGTTGGGGTAACAAAACAAGGGGAAGGAGAAGGGAAGGGGGGTACATCCTGGCAGTGAGGGGCTTTCCACAGGGCTGTGTGAGGGCACCCAGGCCCAGCAAGAGAAGTCCTGGAAGAACAGGGCTAGGGTGTCATTGCAGCGTTCAGTAGAAGGTGGTGCAGGGATGCCTTCGGTTGGCCCACAGTGGATTTTTAAACTAGTTTTGATGTGCACTTTTAGGCAACAGTGCATTAGAACCATGACTTAATGGATATTGTTTAGGATGACTAAAATTTTAAAGTTAATTAATCTAAAACAACTTGAGTGAACAAGAGCCAGACACCAGTGTGAGTTTAGCAAAGGTCATGCAGACGCATGAAGTCAGGGAAGCAACAGGTTAGATCAGCTGGGAGGTAGTTCAAATACAGACTCCTGGGCCCCCCTCCTAGAGATTATGATTTGTAAGACGGGTGGGACCTAAGAGTTTATTTTTTGTTTGTTTAAATTACAGAAGACAAGCTACTACAGATTATTTTACATTTCAACCAAAATATTCAGATTTCCTGAAAGAGTATGTAGAAATAAGAGCAGGTAATCTTCCTTCATTTCTACTTCTTTCTTTCCTTTTTTAAAGTTTATTTAATTTGAGAGAGAGAGAGATAGAGAGAGAGAGGGAGCACAAACAGGGAAGGTCAGAGAGAAGGAGAGACAGAATCCCAAGCAGGCCCCACACCATCAGTGCAGAACCCGATGTGGGGCTTGAACTCACAAACTGCGAGATCTTGACCTGAGCTGAGATCAAGAGATGGATGCTTAACTGACTGCACCACCCAGGCACCCCATTTCTACTTATTTCTAAAGTGAATCTCGGGAAATGAAGATGGAAACCTTATATTTAGAGTGGGTGGGTATTTTCATGCCAGTTTTGAAGACAAACAAAATTTCTCAGAGTCCCCCGATGTAGGGAAGATGCATTTATCCTCTGCATTTCATAGCCTGGTTTGTGCAGAATTGTTTCTTCTGGGTTCAAAAGTGCTCTCTAGAAGGAAAGAAATAGCAATTGATCATTTGTTCTTCCTCTGATCAAGTTTCTTTATCAGTTGGTTGTGGACCACTTTGGGTACACGTCCTCCCAAGACTTGGTTTCTTCTTTGACTCTTGATGACATCAGATTATCGGAGGAAATATAACAGAGGGGCATTCCTCACCCCGCTGCAAAGGCGATGACAGGTAGCACAAATAAGTAGCTTTGATGTGGAACATGAGCATGGTGTCTTTAGGCCTGTGGGAGAGTCTAATAATTAGGACCCCCAGGAATCTAATTGCAAGGTTCCCTTGGGGATTGTCAAGGGCCCTTCCAACTCTGACTTGTAATCATCAGTTACCAATTGTGTCTTCCCACTCCTTCCGTCCCTTCCCCCACACGGCCATCGGGATAATCTAAAGAACCAAGATCTGATTGTGTAAAGTGTGAACTGAAAAGCTCCCACTGCTCTCTGGTGGGTAAAAGTTTGTAATAAGCCCGTCAGAGCATCTTCCTTGTCTGCTTCATGCAGCCCCTCTCTGCCATACTCCAGTGGATGGAAATGCCTCAGATACCCACTCTCTGCTCTGCAGGTCAACTCACCTTCCAGGAATGCTTGTCTCCTACCTCTCCACTGGGTATGTCATTCCTCAAGGTTCAGCTCAAAATGTTACTTCTTCAGCCTTTCTAGACCTCATCTACCTAGACAGAATTAATCCTGTCTTACGAATACTTCTGTGCAACCCTTTCTAGTCACTGGGTGAATGTAATGGAGTGCCACCCCTCGGCATACAAGCGTGGTGCTAATGCCTAGCTCAGCTCATTCTACATGAGGCCAGGGCATGTGTGGATCTTTGGGTGAATTACAAGCAGGCCCCCTCTTCCTTCTGGCTGACACAGCCCTGAGCCAGGGCCGAGACTTGTCCAACTGAGTCTGTACAAAGTACTACAACCATAAATAGTGACCTAATAACTTAGTTCTTTGTATTAAAGGAATTTCAGTTGATGACGCTTTTTATACTGAGATCTTTGAGGGAAGTATCTAGTGACTTAGCACCTAGCATTCATATGAGTTACTTAATACATAGCTGTGAAAATGAGAGTAAATTGTCTGAAAGAACATTTCCTAGAAACTTTGTGTATGTGCTACAGCGGGGTGGGGAAGCAAAGAATGTCTTTAAAACTCTTTTAGGAGATAGAAACAACTCTGTTCGTATGACTGGCTGGAGTGTAGGAGTCTGTGTGACTCCCAAGGACTCTGAGGCCAGTGATTTGTAACCTTGGCTGTAAATTATAATCACCTGGGAAGCTTGGCCAACCTACCTCCGCTCAGACCAATTGAATCAGAATCTCAGTAAATGGGGCCCAGATAGTGCAGCTTTTCAGTCTCCGCAGGTGATTTCAATGTATAGCTGAGACTGCAAACCACTGACCTAGAGAGAGGGTGAGGGAAAATCACAGCATGTTTTCTTGTTCTGTGTGACAAGTGCTCTGGAAAACATAAAACAGTACAAACTAAAACAAGAAAATATCAACAATGGGCTGGGACAGGTGAACAACCAAGTAGGAAAGGGCATGCTTCTGGGTAACAGCAGATCTGTCCTACATCTGGCTTCTATGGCAACAGCATTATATTGGCAGCCCTGGGGACAAGAAGTCTGGACGTTGCTTCACTTTTGTAAAGCTTCTCAGGAAGTTGGCCCATGGCTGTCTAGCTGACTGTCCCTGGGCCTCCTAAGAACTAAATGTTTTCTTCTACAAGTTGTAAGAATAAGCAAAGAAGAAAATCCCCTTTGGCCTGTGAGGAAATGCTCTAAGGTAAACTTCTCTGTTTTTGTACTGTGGATTGCTGAGATGGGGTTTGCTCTATCTGGCAGTTCCTGCACCTGCTTGAACCTAAAAAATACTTGGATGAGGACTGATTCACACATTTCTCAATAGACTTTATTTTTTTTTTTTTTAGAGCAGTTTTAGGCTTACAGAAAAGCTGAGCGGAAAGTATGGAGAGTTCCCATATAATCACCCTCCTCTCTCCTAAACAATGCATTCTCCTCCACCATTAACAGCTCTCCCAAATGTGGTACATTTGGTGTCACTGGTGAACCACCATTGACATATCACTGTCAACTGAAGTCCATAGTTTACATTAGGGTTCATACTTTGCATCGTGAATCCTAGGGATTTGGGAAAATGTATAAGGATGTGTATCCACCATTATAGTATCATACAGAATAGTTTTACTGCCCTAAAAATCCCTTATGCTCCACCTTATTCTTCCCTCACTCCCCCCAGACCTGGGATAACCATTATCCTTTTTATTGTCTCCATAGATTCACCTTTTCTAGTATGTTATCTGATCAGAATTATATAGTATGTGGCCATTTCAGATTGACTTCTTTCAATCTTCTTTGTGGAATGATAGTTCACTGTTTTTTTTTTTTTTTATTTTTTTTTCCCAACATTTATTTATTTTTGGGACAGAGAGAGACAGAGGATGAACGGGGGAGGGGCAGAGAGAGAGGGAGACACAGAATCGGAAACAGGCTCCAGGCTCCGAGCCATCAGCCCAGAGTCTGACGCGGGGCTCGAACTCACAGACCGCGAGATCGTGACCTGGCTGAAGTCGGACGCTTAACCA